CGCCCTTTTGACCTATCTGTTTCCTCTCCACCTATCTTCTCCTCTATCCATCTTCTATCCTGCTCCTATGATGCTGTGTTCATCCGGCTCTACACCTTGTTATCTCATTCTCCAGCATCTGCAGTTCCTACTATCTCTGATACAACTGGTAGTATCATTTTTCCCTTAGGTGATAAGATGCTCTACCTTTTTTTCATTAACGGGATGAGGGTATCACTGGCAGCATCTGTTGCCCATCCCTAACTGCCCAGAGGGCAGTTCAGAGTCAACCACATTGCTGTGGGTCTGGAGTCACATGTAGGCCAGACCAGGTAAGGATGGCAGTTTCTTTCCCTAAGGGACATTAGTGAACCAGCTGGGTTTTTCCGACAATCAGCAATGGATTCACGGTCATCATTAGATTCTTAATTCCAGATATTTATTGAATTCAAATTCTACCATCTGCCATGGCAGGATTCGAACCCAGGTCCCCAGAATGTTATCTGGGTCTCTAGCTTAACAGTCCGCGATAATACCAAGAGGCCATCGCCTCCCGTGTACAATCACAGTAGTGTAGTTTCTCTGTCCTTATTTTAAAAAAACCTATTGCATGACCCACAGGCCAGAGGAAGTTCATTCCTGGGATGAAGGGTTCATGTCAGTGATTGCTATACCGATTGGAGTGAGAGATGAGGGTCTGGAAAAGGTTGAGAGGGAGCTCAGGGACTCCCCCCTTGTGGAGGAGACTAGAACTCGGGGTCACAGTGAAGAATTAAAGAGAGTACAGAAATTGTTTTGTTTGAGGAATGCAGCATTCTCTTCAGAAAGCAGTTAAGATTAGGTTATTGAATATTTGCAAAGTAGACAGAAGTTGAGTTGTTTTGGCAGGGGTGGGGACAGGCATAGAGGACAGACAGGAAAACGGAATAGAGGCCACAGCCAGATTAGCCGTGATCTTATTAAACGGCAACGTTCGATGATTTGAATGGCTTCACCTACTCTTAAGTCCCATTTAACATTCACTGTTAAATCGAAACAATGGGTCCGTAACCTCATTTAGATCAAAAGTCTTATCTGACATAAGATCATGTGTCTTAACCACCTTGGAGTACGCTTTCCTGCTCCCTGATCTTTTCTCTAATTGCTGAACCTCCTTAGCCTACCCTCACACCAAATGTCCCCAGAACCCTCACTGAGCAATTGTGAGCAATTGTGAGCAATGTCTCTGGTGATAAGCTACAGCTCGGAATCAAGTTGAAGATGTCTTTCGCTGCTCATCTCTAGAGTCTCCCATGCAGCAAGAGTACAGGCAAGCATGGGGAGCAGGAAAGACTAAAAACTGGAGGTTCAGTGAGAGGAGGGGTCCATAGCAAACCAGGAGGAACTGTTATGTATAATTGTGCCATTATTATACTAAGAACCCCCAAGTTTATTCCTGCTGTACCACAGGCCAGAGGATTCAGAGATCCTGTATTTGATAATTAAGCAAAGTGAGCATATTTCTAAACTTGTGTTTTCTCAGACAGGCTAAGAAAAGTGATACAAAAATGTGTAACTCATTTATTGTTTGCACATCATGTTTATATAAAACTCAACATGGCTTATTTCAGTGGCAGTTCTTGTAATCTGTTCAATATAGTTTAATTGTACCAATATAAAGCCATCAACCTGCAATTCAGGAAACAACCATAATATTGGATTTCAGCACCAAGAATTGAATGCAAAAAAACCCTGCAAATTTGACTACTAGTTGTCATGGTATGTGACAAGAAGGAAATCAGACTAAAACAAATGTTTGAAAAACCTAGATGCCCTTGAAGTTGGCAACTTATGTAAACAACTGTAGGATTTGGATATAGGGTGGTACAGAAAGAACAAAAAGTCACTTTGCTTGATCCACTGATGCTGTTATTACAAAAAAAAAATCTTTAACTAACAAATATAACCTGAGAATCTCAACTAATGGCTTAAAATATTAAAATCTTGTTCATACCTATTCATTGTCAGTTTGCAGACATGCACAGAGCACACAGATCCATGTATAGAACAAAGACACCAAATTTAAAAATTCCTTCAGTGAATCACAGCCTCACTACTACACAGGGCTAATTATAAATGCACTAATTATTTGTGTTAACACAGACACACAAAAACATATTTCTCTCACTTGAGAATTTATCACTCAACAAACCAATGGACCCGACTGCTATGTAACCCCTTTAGCAAAGTTATCTTCTGCAATTTCTGTACCTTAACTGTGACAGAGATTATAGATGTTACTGTACACCCCTGGAGCAGGTGGGACTTGAAACCACGCCTCCTGGCTCAGAGGCAGGGTCACTACCACTGTACTACAAGAGCCCTACACCACAACAGAGATTACATATTTAGCCCAATTCTTGCACTTACAGTTTGGTGACAAGATCACACTGAAAAAGGTATGCACATGCTATAGCTGCCACAAGTAGTAGATAATTACATCAGGCACTGTAAAGTCAGACAAGGGTCAGGTACATTATACTTGGCACAGCTGCAGGAAACATCCTGCATTTCAAGGCAATCCTATCCTCATCTGAACAAAAGACTGAAGTTCAAAAACACAACTGAATCTAGAAAAAAAGTCTATCTGTACAGGACTGCACAATGGAAAGATTGTCATAAGGTCTCATACCCAGATCAGAACTGACTGAATTGGGGCACAATTAATGTTTCATGTACTTGGGTGGGATGGAGGCGGGGGGAGGAGACTTACAGGTCTTGAGCGATTAGCAATAGAAGATCAAACAAACCATAGACCTAAAGTACATGACAAATGATGCGCACATTCTCTCCAACTTTACCAAGATCATCGAACTAACAAAATTTTGAAATATAGGGGCACTTTTCACTATTTGAAATAAGTCTAGTCAGTTACAAGCAGAAACCTACTAAACATGTATAACCAAAAGTTGCAGGGAATTGCAATTGATCGGAGGAACAGAATACAGAAACATAAGGATTCAGCGAAGGATACTGACACCCAAGAAACTCAACTCCATCCATGACAAAGCAGCCACAATGAGCATCTTGTTTACCAATTTAAATATTATACAAAATTGGCGACAGTGTGTATCAACTACAAGACACACTGCAGCAACACATTAAGCCTCCTTCCATAGCACCTTCTAAACCCATGACTTCTATCACCCAGAATAGCAAGGGCATTGGAGCACCACCACCTGCAAGTTACTCTCCATGCTAAACACTGTCCTGACTCAGAACCGTGCTGCTGTTTCTTCAATGTTTCCGGGTCAAATTCCTGGACTGGTCTTCCTAAAATCATTGTGGGAGTATCCGCATCACTGAGATTGCGGCGGGGGCAATTAGGGATAGGTAACAACTGATGTTGTCCAAGAAAACCACATACTAACACTGAATCTTTAAGATGGTTTATATTTTTATTGTACAGAGGCAGGACCCCAGCAGCAAACTAGTAAAAGGACCGAACTTGCTCTCAAGGTCTAACAAATAAGTTAAACAGTTATTTCAACAAATCTATCAGATTTGTGCCACCTACACCTAGCCCCAAACCATTCCCAAATTTGAGACAACACCCATTGAGCTGCAGCTAACACTGACACCAACATTTCACCCAGATGGATCTTCCTCACTGTTTTAAAACAAGGAGCTCTTCAGGATTAAGTTTCAATACTGGGAAGGAAGTATATCGAGAATTCCATCATTCCTTCAGATCAAACTCATCACTACTACCGGTGGATTATGGATTTTATGAAAGGTTTTAAAACAAAACTCTTCTTGTTCCAATCAATGTTTTAAAAAAAAGACAAATAGTATTTGACAAGGTGAATTACACAGATCCAACAGCGCTGCAGTAAGGGGAGCTCCAGCATAGAAACAGACTTTGCAGAACAGGAGGAATTAAAATGGGTAGTAAAGGAGCCCATGGTACAGTACCTTAGTAAGAGTTGCCACATCAAGAGGGGGAAACCAGCAAAGAAATGAGAGACAGGAATTTTCAATAGCATTCAATTACATCCAACACACAATCATTAAATTTGGGCTGGAGTTACCAGTCCCTCAAATGTGTACATAAGATTCCAAGAGATTTTGTGAAATTCAGCCCAATTACAATAACAAAAGCTAATCTTTTCACTGTAGATCAGTGCAAACCGGCCAATTCCCAGCAACACTTCTCAAAGGACAAATGGCTGTCCATGAGGCTGATAACAGTTCAAGAGAAAACAGTGAGTCAGTTTTCCCAATCTGTTTTGGTACGCAGCTTTGTTCAAGTTAAAACTGGCTAAATGATATAAAGCACAGTCGGGTAATCCCGTTATTTTATCACTATGTGCCTTTCCTGGATCAAAAAAACTTGCTACAGCCACAGGTTGAAGTAATGATCCCTTCTAACCCACCTTCAAATTAGAGCACCACTTGTGTTGCAGGAATGCAGAGAGACAATAACTGTTGTTCTTCTAGTGGCTTTAAGACTCTGTAGAGACAGTTTTTTAGATGTAACACAATATCTTCTACACAGGCAGGGTGTTTAAATTTGATTTTCAAGTTCCGCAATGAGGTCAGAATAAAGTAAAAGTTTAAAAAGACAACATTCCCAGATCCTGAGCCTTAATCGATCAATGACATTGAACCAACATTATGACCAGCATTTCAATGATTAGGAAAAACAAAAGACATTTACAAATTTAATTTAAAAATTACTTAGCTTGTCTAATCATGGTATAAAATGAATATAATTTTTAATTTAGGCAAAAGTTTTTAACGGTATTGAATATTCTCCACCAAAACATTCAGCATTTCAAGTTATATCTGATTAGGAAAGAATCTCCAGTCAGATAAGTTTATAATAAATGCCTTTTCTCTTTTGAGTAGTGTCTTTTTCCATCATTTTAACATAAATATTTATGCCCACAGCAAGAATTTTTGGAGGAAATTTAACAACTAACCTTACAGCAACTAGTCACAATTTCCATTTTCTTTTATAATAGCTCACAACCTAAAGATAGAAGTCGCAAATTTTATTCAAATAAGAAACATTTAAGATACAAGCATGTAAGAGTTGCCATTAGGACCAGAGGTATTTTGGGGAGGAGGACGGGTAGGAAGGGACAAGAAGATATATTGCAAACAGGCTGTTTGTGCATCCAGTGCTTTGCAGCATCCGAACCAAAAAAAAGACAAATCAAGTGCCTTAAGGCATTTGTTGTATTCCAGGTGAAGACAGCAAGGAAGTTGCCAGCAGGTACAAGAGTGAGGGGGTTGGGCTACAACTGTGATGCAAAATAAGGCCGACCATTGTCCTCCAGGCGTCTTGTCAAGATCTCACAGCCGGTCTCCGTAACCAGAAGGGTGTGCTCAAATTGTGCAGAACGCTTGCCATCCTTGGTTACTGCAGTCCAGCTGTCTGGCCACGTCTCATCGTGCCATGCCCCTGACAGGCAGAAAACATAACAGGGTTCTTTTTGATTGCGAACACATCAAACTATTTGCAAATATATATGCAGCAAATCGATGAATGATACAACACAAGAGGCAGACATTCAGCCATCATGCACGAATTCAAGAATTAGGACATTAAAGAGACTTGAACTCCTCCAGCCTGCTCCACCATTTGATAAGATCATGGCTGATCTGACTTGACCTCAACTCCACTTTCTGCCACAACATAGTCATGCACTTATTTAATGACACAGCCTCCTTGTGAAGAGAATTCCATAGTGTAACAACTCCCCCCATGAGAAAAAGATTTCTCATGGGAGACCCTTAATTCTTAAACTGCATGACCAGTTCTAAACTCCACCTACAGGGGAGTCTCTCACTCACTCCTGATAAGTATGTTCCTCCAATTCTAGTATGATTCTTGTCAATTCTTTCCCACTTTTTACACCCCTGCACTTCTTTTGGTCATATGGAGACAAGGATTATGGACATATGCCAAAATGTGGATTAACTAAGATTTGATACAAGTGTGATATGACCTCTCCAGCTTTCAGTTCTATTCTTACAGAAATTAACCCGTGCTTGGTTTATATTTGTTTTTAAAAGGACATTAACAACCAAAGGCAAATGTTAACATTTTAGAATAATGCAACAACCATAAAACTCTGGTTAGACCACACTTGGAATATTGTGTTCAGTTCTGGTCACCTCATTATAGGAAAAATGTGGAAGGAGAGGAGATTTACCAGGATGCTGCCTGGACTGGAGGGCAGGTCTTATGAGGAAAGTTTGAGGGAGCTAGGGCTTTTTTCATTGGAGCGAAGAAGGATGAGAGGTAACTTGATAGAAGTGCACAAGATGATGAGAGGCATAGATAGAGTGGACAGTCAGAGACTTTTTCCCAGGGTGGAAATGACTATTACGAGGGGCATAATTTTAAGTTGATTGGAGGCAGGTATAGGGGAGATGTCAGAGGCAGGTTCTTCACACAGAGAGTGGTGGGCGTGTGGAGTGCGCTGCCTGCAGTGGTGGTGGAGTCAGATATTTTAGAGACTTTTAAGTGACTCTTGGATAGGCACATGGAGGATAATAAAATATAGGGTATGCAGGGTAGATTGATCTTAGTAGGATAATAGGTCGGCACAACATTGTGGGTCAAAGGGCCTGTACTGTGCTGTACTGTTCTATGTTCTAAAAGTAACGCTGTTCTTGCTATTTGAATTCAGACTTTGTGTCTTGAGAATGCTCCCAAAAGAAACAGAATGGTTTTCAAATCACTTCATAAGCTTTTATGAAAACAGATTAAATTTGTTCCATTGTTCCACTGAGGACAAATTAAATAATTTAATTAATTAATTTTGTGAAACAAAAGTCATTAGCAGCTTACCCTCACAAATCATGGGTTCAATTGTAAACACATGACCAGGCTTCATCACTCCAACAGCTTTATTTTCTGAAACAACAAATCTATGGTTAAATTCTCAATTGCATTCTTACAAAGATAGTCAACAGCAGAATGGAGACCTCAGAGATTTGCTACTATACAGAACTATTACACAGAACTTCATTATCGGGAAGTTAGGCAGAAACTTCTGAGAGGATTCTTTGCTTGAGCAAAAACAAAGTTGCTGGAAAAGCTCAGCAGGTCTGGCAGCATCTGTGAAGGAAAATAACAGAGTTAACGTTTCGGGTCCGGTGACCCTTCCTCAGAACATGCCCTTCGCTGCAACTGGACCCGAAACATTAACTGTTTTTTCCTTCACAGATGCTCCCCTCCCTTGTCCCCCTTCCGCAGGGACCGTTCCCTTCAGGACAAACTGGCCCACTCTTCTTTTACCCCCAACACTCCCACCCCCCACGGCACCTTCCCCTGCAACCGACGAAGGTATAACACCTGCCTATTTACCTCCTCCCTCCCCAGTATCCAAGGGCCCAAACATACATTCCAGGTGAAGCAACATTTCATTTGCACTTCCCAGAATCTAGTCTACTGCATTCGCTGCTCACAATGTGGTCTCCTTTACATTGGGGAAACGAAGCATAGACTGGGCGACCACTTCACAGAACATCTAAATTCTGCTTGCAAAAAAGACCCTGAGCTACCTGTTGCCTGCCACGTAAATGCACCACCCTGTTCCCTGGCCAACATCTCTGTCTCTGGCTTGCTGCAGTGTTCCAGCAAAGCTCAGTGCAAGCTGGAAGAACAACACCTCATTTTCCGCTTGGAGACCCTGCAGCCCTCCAGATTCAATGTCAAGTTCAATAATTTTAGGGCCTAAACTCTCCCATGTCCCAGCCCCCTACCCCCCACACCAGGCCTTGATATCACATAGCCTATTACACACTACCTGTTGTTAGTCACTAACAGTCCCCATTAACAACTATTCACTCTCCAAGCCAGATCGTTATTAACTAGCATCTATCCAACTGCTCTTCTCTCTCTTCGGGCTCTATCCTATCATTTACTCCCTACCCTATTACCCTCCCTTTTTTCTGCACATAAACCTACGTTTTCCCAGCTACCATCAGTTCTGAGGAAGGGTCACCGGACCTGAAATGTTAACTCTGATTGTTTCTTCACAGATGCTGCCACGCCTGCTGAACTTTTCCAGCAATTTGTTTTTGTTCTATAAGGTCACCCCTCAGCCTCCGATGCTCCAGGGAAATTAGCCCCAGCCTATTCAGCCTGTCCCTAAAGCTCAAACCCTCCAGTCGAGGCAACACCCATGTATATGTTTTCTGCACCCTCAAGTTTATCAACACCTTTCCTATAGAAGGGCAACCAGAATTCAATGCAGTATTCTAAAAAAGTGGCCTCACCAATGTCCTATACAGCCATAACATGACACCCCAACTCCTATGTTAAGTGTTATGATAAATGAAGACAAGAGTGCCAAACGCCTTCTTCACCATCCTGTCTACATGCAACTCCAGTTTCAAGGAATGTGAAACTGCATCCTTAAGTCTCTGATCGGCAAGACTCCAGAGGTCCCTCCCATTAACTGTGGAAGTCCTGCCCTGATTTGCCTTACCAAAATGCAACACCGCACATTAACCTAAATTAAACTTTATCGGCCACTCCTCAGCGCATTGGCCAATCTGATTGAAGTCCCATTGTACTCTGATATAATCTTCTTCACTGTTCAATACACCACCTATTTTGGTGTCATCTGCAATCTTACTAACCATTCCTGCTACCTTCACATCTAAATCATAGTCAGAGATTTACGGCATGGAAACAGACCCTTCAGTCCAACTCGTCCATGCCGACCAGATATCGTAAATTAAACTAGTCCCATTTGCCAGCATTTGGCCCTTATCCCACTAAATCCTTCCTATTCATTTACCCATCCAGATGGCTTTCAAATGTTGTAATTGTACCAGCCTCCATCACTTCCTCTGGCAGCACATTCCATACACACGCCAGTCTCTTAAAAAGCTGCTCCTTAGATTCCTTTTATATCTTTCCCCCCTCACCGTAAACCTATCTAGTTTTAGGTCTATGCCCTCTAGTTTTGGACTCCCCCACCCTGGGCAAAAGACCTTTGTCTATTTACTCTCTACTACATGATTTTATAAACCTCTGTAAGATCACCCCTCAGCCTCTGGCGCTCCAGGAAAAATAGCCCCATCCTATTCAGCCTCTCCCTACAGCTCAAACCCTCCAACCCTGGCAACATCCTTGTAAATCTTTTCAGAACCCTTTCAAGTGTCACAACACCCTTCCTTTATAAATGACAAAAAACAGTGGACCTAGTGATCCTTGTGGCACACCACTGGTCACACACCTCTAGTCCAAAAATCAAACCTCTACTACCACTCTCTGTCTCCTAACTTCAAGCTAATTTTATATCCAATTGGCTAGCTTCCCTGGATCCCAACGTGATCTAATCTTACCAACCAGTCCACCATGCTTGCTTGATTTGCTTCAGTAATTATTTCTGAATGCTCTTCCTTAAAATCCTTCCTTAGAAAAATTGGTGCTTTTAAATTTAATCACATTAACAACTGCAGAAATTATAGAGAGCCTAACTTTTACAGATCAGTTGTTGCAGATCAATGTAAAGAGAATAAAGACTACAATCTTGCAGCAAAACATTATGAAATACAAATTTGGAAGCGTCGGTATACCAAATCAGTTGTAGAAAAAAATGACAAGTTTGAACATGAGCATTACTACTTGTCTGATATTGTAACAATAACTATTCAGGAACAGTGGACAAGAGAATGACTTAGGTCACAATTTTGAGCACTGTGAGCAGTTTCCAGCTATCCATTCAGAAAGAATATTCAAATCACAGCATGTTTAAATCAGAAATTCACCAGATTAATGCCAGGGAGAAAGCTGGGGAAGCCGATTAACTTTGAATTGTTCTAACTGAAAGCCACATCTAGAAACATCTGTGCCATCTGTAAATTAGTCACAAGTAAAATAAAACACCAACTCGCAGGAATTAAGTGACTTGGGCTATCTGAAAATTCAACCAACACTCAAAGAAACCATGAACTAGGAATCATTCTCAAAGTTAAAAATCAAATATTCTGGTTAAAGTAATTTCCAGGTGACAATTAGATCAGTAATGTTTCATGCTTGTAAAGCTCATTTTAATATATACGTATATACACACACAAAGTTTGCTCTTTGTCCACTTCTCCCTCACAGATTTTAGTCAAGTTTGAACTGCAATAAAAAAAAAATTGTCCTGCACATTTGGAACAAATAACTCTCTGGGTCTTACTGGCAACAAATTAGCATTTATAACTTGCATTGTTTTATCAGAGGACTGCTGTATGTTTGAAAGAGCCAAGTATTAATGTGAGGACAAATACTGCACTGTAGATTAAACCTTCCATGCATGAGGATCTGAGAATCATAGAATGACAGAGGACAAAAGGCGATTCAACCACTATACCTTTGCTGCCCCTTTAAATGAGTGATTCAATTGGTCCTTGCCCTTTCCCCATAGCCCTGAAACCTTTTCCTCTTCAAATATTTATCCACTGTTCTTTTCAAAGTCATTACGTTCTATGCACTAATTCCACCAACATTTCAGGCATTGCACTCCAGATCATAACATACCAGATTGAAAAAGAATGTTTGCATGTCCACACCCACAGTTCTTTCACTAGTCATTGTTACTAATGCGTACTTTGTCACACAAGTAAAACGAGATTACATATAGAATGAGACAGAGAGTGAGTGGTCTGGGAATCTATCATGTGCTTGACCTAGCAGTGAAAAAGAAAACTTATTCATGCATCTGTGACATTCATTGAAAAACAATTTTTCATCAGGTTGGTGAAAAATTAAAAACATGGGTCAGACTGGGGCAAAAGAAAAACTTTTTAGCAATTTTGTTTCGGAAAAAATCATTGAGCACATCTCTAAAGGCGGCTAAACACAGTAACCAAAGCGATCATTTGAATTTCACATATGTAAGATTAAGCAGGCATGACTTACTGGCATAATGTGGCACATTGGGTGCGGTATGAAACAGTCGGTGGATACCATGTCCACAATAGCTTCGAACAACCGAAAATCCATTTGCATGTGCATGTTTCTGTATAATATTACCCAATTCTCTGTAACGAACACCTGGCTTTACTGCAAAGAAAACATACTGTGATGGCACCATTTGTCACAAAAAATATACCAAGAAATTGTAACATGGAGACATGGAACTCAAATAACTAGATCTGTTGACAAACTTCAGTATAAAACAATGTACCTCATCGCTCAGGTAACCTGGATGCAAAGTTGTGGACTGTGACCAACATAAATATTGTTATGATGATTTGTTAGTTCTGCTGGTGATTGCAGCAAAGTTACACCTGTTAGGAAAGGATGAACAGGCTGATTTCTCTTAAAAAGAGAAGGCTGACAGATTAATCTAATGGAGCTCTTTAAAAGTAGTTTATTTAATTTTATTTAGCTAATGCAAATTCATGGAGCCAAACAACAGCTTCCTCACTTGCTGAATCTAAGGTGATTAGTCTGCCATTTAATCTGTGAAGGGGACACTCCTCTGTGGCATGCAACATTGTCTGTGTCTCTCCACAGTTTTATAAGGGTTTTATTTTGAGGATCCAGTGGTGCAGATTAGCCACAAAGAAGTCCCGGCTTGGCTTGCTTAGCAAGGTCCTCTGTTGTCGTGATGTGGAGGCGCTGGTGTTGGACTGGGGTGGACAAGGTCAGAAATCACACGACACCAGATAACAGTCCAATAGGTTTATTTGAAATCACAAATAAACCGTTAGACTATAACCTCTCTTGCTGTGGTAGCTCAAAGAACGTCATCTGACAGACAGGGATTCTTGCAAGAAAATGATAAGGGAACACAGAGACAGACTGTTTTCCGCTTGTGGGGGAAGAAGAAACTAAGGGTTTTCAATATAACAGAAATTCGAGAGAGAATTCAGGAGTACTTCTTTCCCCAGAAACTGGCGAAAGTGTGGAACTCATTATACAGATAGTGTTTGAAGTGAATACAAGGAATAAAGGAATAGAGGGTTACATTGATAGAATGAGATGAGGATTGAGGAGGCTAAAGATGATCTCAAATGTCAGCTTGGCATTGTTAGGCCAGATGGCCTGCTTCTTTGCTGTACATTCTATGTATTTTTTCGGAGGGAGGTTAATGTTGGGGATACTCCCAATGAGGAATGAGCCCAGGCTTACACCAGTTTTGTCTTTGCACCCATTATTGTTCAAAAGTGGAACAATTAAGTCCCGTTTCCTCACCTGAATCTATGGCGTGCATTAGACACTCATAGGTTGTCTGCACCAGTTTCTTGGAGCCTTCATCCACTTCACCAACAAAGAAAGTCTCATTTAAATCGCCATGGAAGCCATTGCGGTAAACTGTAATGTCCACTGTAAAAGAAAGAATACAAACATTTCCATTATCCAGCGTGTGTCAGGATAGAATGGTTTTGGTAAAATCAAAATACCAGTTAACCCACTGCAGTTTGTGGTAATAATAGGAATGTAATCAAAACATGCTCTAACTGAAATTTGCAGAGCCTGGGAGCCCATTTTTGTCTCTTTTCTAAAGAAAAAGTACTGGAACCTTTACAAGTTACTCTTATGATCACTTCAGATCTGAAAACATTAATATAGTATATTCTAACAGTGGCCCCAGAGAGATATTGGAGACTCTGGTGGCTGGAGTTTTCCAATAAACAGGAGGCTTGATAACAAATTTTACTGAAATGGGGTGTGCAAAAAACAAAAACACTTCAGATTATTGAGGGGCAGAACTCTTTTGTTATCTTCCCACAGACTCAGTATCCCTTGTGTGTTAATACTCACCATTAACAATGTCACCTTCTTGCAATGGCCGTGCATCTGGGATTCCATGACAGATCACCTCATTTACAGAAGTACAGCACGATTTTGGAAAATTGTAATAATTGAGCGGTGATGGGTAACAATTGCGTGCTAAGCAGGCCTAAATATAGAGAACACTGGTTAGCTTCTCGCATTCAAATCCAGATCATTTTGACTGCAGAAATTTAATTTTAAATGTCAGTCTTCAAAGATCAAGAAAGAATAGTTGTCTTGTGTCTTAACCTTTATCTATGTTCACACTTCAGAAATTGTAAATGATCAACCCACAATTGTGGCTAACATAGTTTCGATAAATTCATCTCTGGATCCCCTTCTGATTTCACTACTTGAAATTCCACTCCAAAGTATTTCTTGGTGTCTATAAATAGGGATAGAATAATTGGACACTTGGAGATACTCGAGTTAATTAAAGAAATATCTTGAATGTGCTGTTACATCAAACTTAAATAAAGTAGCTAAAGCAGTAGACAGAAAAATGGACGTAGTTCTTATGGATTTCCCAAACACACACAAAGGTTCCAAGTAACAATCTTAAAGCAAAACTAAAGCATGGAATTGACAGCAAGTACTGACATGGTTAGGAGATTGGTTAGACAAAAAAAAAAACAGGAATACGGCCATGTACACAAACCAGAAGAAAATCTTGAGTCATGTCCAACAATCTGTGCAGGAGCTGTAATAATTTTCCATATTTGTTAATTACTTATATTTTACAAAAGAACCTTTTTTCTTTAAAGTTTTTCCAATAACAACCAACATTGGTGGCATAAGCAGTACAGACAGGAACATAAAATTATGGGAGACATCTAGTTCAAAGAAGAATTGTAAACTTGAGATCAATAGGTTTACTAGACAAAAGTGCAGCGAATGGGGTGTGCAGCAAGTCAGAGATTCCGGGAGGGGATGGTGATAGGGCACAAGTCGGCGGGTCAGAGAGGGAGGCCATGTTGGACAGGCAGTGACCTGGGAGGGCTGCAGATCAGAGGGGTTGGAGACAAAGAGAGGCCACAAGTTCAAGGTTATAGCATGAAAAGATTGGTCCCATTATGGAGCAATCAGGTCACATGGGAAACAGTGTTAAAATAAATTTTGCAGGGCTCAACAAGGGAACACAACTTAACAATATTAAAGCAAAACAATGTTAATGAGGGCAATATCAAACAGGAACTTACTGAATTTTAAGATAAACAATTTATGAAGTGTACTGCTCTATTTAAAGGTTAAAAGTTGCTGTTACAGTTCCCACCATTTAAAGCAGTTGTTTTTGTAAACACAATTTTCTCACTGTACACAATATCCAAAATAACATGAGTAATGCTAACAACAAGAATGTTCCTTCTGTGTGTCACCAATTGATCTGGACCTTTATTCAACTATCAATTACAGACTGCAGCCCTGACAACCAGAGGGAATTTGGCAGCTGTAAATATATAATTACATCTGATATTTCAGCCAGAACCAACTGAACAAAGTGAAGCATGAAGGATGTTGTGACCTGCAATTTTAAAACTGACTGCAGATCAGTTACATAACAGTTACTTTCCCTCTCAGGATGAAATAAGTGGCTGCTTGGCTTAAACATGGGTGTTAAAGTGATGGGGTATTGCACCAAGATATAGAGACAGTATTACATTAGCAAATTTAATCAAATCAGCAAATGAGCTTGAAGTATTCTACTACTCAGAGCTCCTCACACTTGCATGGAAAATATTCTCAGTTCAGAAACAGGAGGCGGCAAAAGGAGAAGAAGGAGAAAATGATTTATTATCCAATTTTAATGACGTGCAGGGGAGTGAAAAACTTGCTCTTCTCAAGTATTGATTTGTACGTCAAAGACAAGTCTTGAGGAAGAGGTCAAGGAATCTTTTAAAATATTATGCAAAGGTTAGGGTCAGTTTGCTCAACTTTGGTTATTTCTCCTTGATTTTATTTTACGGTTGTTCCATACCAGATGAACAGCATGATCTATCTCTTCAGTTGTTACTCCTGGCCTCACCATCATTGCAGCAACGTCCAGTACTTCCCGGGCAAACTGCAATAAAGCAGTTTAAAATTAGATGGCAAGTTCCAACAAGTATGCAAAACATGTCAAATGCCTAACAGGTATAAATGCACATGCACTGGCTGCAGCAGGTCTGGTCTACACAGAATATAAATGGTTATCAATGTCCAATTTTAATTAGTCAGTAATTGTGAAATCACAGTAGAGAATAATGTTCCTATGAGTACCTTGTCAACTGTTTTAAAATGGTGATGGTCTACTTGAATGCAAATTATTGTTTATCAATGTCCCACTTGCAGTTTTCACTCCTGCAGTTGTGGCAGTGTCACATTTGCAGCAACCTTTCACTATTTTGACATAAAAATTGATCTTTTCTGATGAGCTATTGATAGATTACATCACCTTGTGCAAAATTTCCACACTGCAAGCTAAATGTAGTATAAAACTCGTGATTTCAAAGCTAGTCCTGGAAAAGATTAACAGTTTGTGTTTTATCTTGTTGTTGTTTAAGCAAAAGTTTAAAGTGACTTCTAACAATGGTTTTCCTCAGAGTCCGCATGTGCTACAAAATTCACTTGTAAAATAGGAATGAAGGAGGCAGTCTTAGAATTAGCACGAATCAGCAGAAATTCTCTCAGTGCAGGAACAGAAACCTTTTGGAAACATTAGCTGCAACGCTCAATGACTTCACAGCTGAGAGCCCCTCGTGGACAGAGGCTTCTCAAATCTGTGCAAGGTCTTTTGATGGAGGAAGCTGCCAGTGGCATTCGAAACAAGACCAATTGTGACACAGGCGTAGTCTTCCTGGGTTAAAACCCTGGCAAAATCTAAAGTCGTCAGCTTAATTAAAGACCTTAAAGCAGGTCCGAAGAATGTTAAAATATATATTTTTAGCAGTACAATATGCAAAATTCTCATGGTTAACTTCAAGTCCTCCCAATGCCTCACCGCTCCATCCCCATTTCTACATCTCGCTAATTCTGTTTCTTTGCTCAACTGGATTTAAATCATCGCATCAACAAGGATCAAGCCTTCAACTACCAAGAAACCCAAACTCTGGAATTCCCTCCTTAAGCCTCCATTATGCTCTACCTCACTCATCCTGTAAGGCATCCCTTGAAACCTAACTGACTGAGCTTTTGGACACCTGCCCAAAGCTTACTGTCAAATTTTCTCTTGATACTTTTCAGTGAAATGTCACAAGCAGCTTCACATATGATAAAGATGCTATATAAATCCAAGTTGTTAAGACAGATAGCACAGAAGTGCTCATTTCAATTGACCACTTTGCAACATTCAAAAGAGCAGCTTTCCATCATACAGAGTATTTAGAGTATTCCACAAAATGGTTGCTTTATAAATAACAGATTGGGGATGGGGCGTGGGTTGACTTGCTTTATGGGTTTGCAGGCCAAAATAGTTAGTGAGATATTCTAAGTTTTACTTCTTTACAAATTCAATTACATCTAAGAACAGTCAAAGTTTGGGAACTCACTTTGCATACAACTCGCATTGCTTCTGTGTCTTCTGGTGGCAGAATTTTGATTTGAGACGTTCCCTTTAAGGACTGCTCTGATTCAGAAACACCTTGAATGAGAGCACAAAACATAAATTAAAATATAATTATATTACATTCCCCTTCAAAAACACCGAACTAGTAATTGATAATAAGCAATGCAAAAAGAGATGAAGAACATACAAATGCCATCTACCCACCCAGGTTATTGATATTGAAAACAGAGGATGGCACAGGCTTTTATATTGAGAGCATTGGAATTAAAAGCCAACGTGTGTATAGAAACCTGGTTTGGGGATACTGTGCATAATTCTGGGAGCTATTTTACTAAAAGGACACACTGGTGAAGGTGTAAACAGATTTAAAACATCAATGTCTTTTTCTGTCCCTTTTCCCATGAGGTGGGGTCATAGTTTACACCTCCCAGATCATGTCCATCCACCTGCTCCTTAGTCTTTTCTTGCTACAGCCCATTTCCAACATCCTAGCTTTCGGTTGAAGTGCCATACCTTCCCAGTCTCCTTTTCAGATGCTTCCTGGATATTTGTGATACTCAGTCCTTCTCCTGGATGCTGTCATTCCAGGCCCAGTCTCTTCAAGACATGGTAAATCCACCTCAATGTCCTCATACTGCCACATGAACTTTCTAGCTTTTGTTCTCTTCAAGGGCTAGGTCTCACAACCTTACAACAGTGCTGGGCATGGACAGGTCTTTATAGATGTGTTTATTTGGCCACAGTGGCGATCTTTGATGGCCAAGAATGTCGACTGCCAGTCTCCACTTATTCCACACTGCAGCTATCTAGTGCATGACCTCCCTCTGTAGTTTGCTGCCTTGCTCAAAAATTGAAGCCAGGGATCTGAATTTGGTCGCCTGCTGACACTTCCATTCTGGTGTCAGTCACAGTGCCACTGTCTCCTGGTTGGTTTGCAAGGACCAATCAAGGGATAGGGACTTCTTACCACAGATTTTTAACCCGCTATTTTCTTTTGCAGTTAACTTATACTTGCTTGTAGCTTTTCCACACTTTCAGTAATGACTGGTCACATCATCCACATACAACATGTTCCAGGGTGGGTCGGTTCTAACTCTTTTCAGAGTAGTATGGAGGGGATGGTGAACAAGGTGGTCTGAGGACAGAGCCCTTGGCAGACCCAGCTTTTACCTCAAACTTTATTGAGCTGTCAGCACTGCTGTTCACTGATACACAAAACTCCAAACACATCTTTAGTGAGGGTGATGCACTTCTTCAGTGCCACACCTCTTCTTTCTTCTCACTCTCTGACATTCCTGATCTTTCTCCTCAGCACTTTGTCATATGCTTGTTCCCAGGTCTAGGAAGGCGAGGCCTTACGCCCCTCGCAATATCTCTCAATACCGAGCGCCTTTGTGGCACAGTGGTAGTATCCCTACCCCTGAGCCCAAAGGCCTGGGTTCAAGGGCTACCTGATCCCAAAGGTGTGTAATAACATCGGTGAACAAATTACATAGAAAATATTTATCTCTCAGTACAGAGAAGGCACTTCAGACAAGTTTTGCTAGATTGATAACTGGAATGAGCAAGTTGGCTTATGACAAAAGGTTGGGCAGACTGGGCTTGTTTCCACTGGTGGTTAGAAAGGCAAAGGGTGACTTGATCCAATTTTATAAAATCCTGAACGACTTTGGCAGGGTGGACATGGAAAAGAGTCCAGAACTAGAGATCAGAAGGTTGTACAACTCCATAACTCTGAAAGACGACAGTGAAAGCAGAGTCACTGAATATTTTTAAATAAGATGTAGATAGATTATCAAGTAATAAAATCAAAGGTTATCAGTGAAGAAGAGAATGCGGAATTCAAAACACAAACAGAATAATTCTTACTGAATGGTAGAGCAGGCTCAAAGAGTAAAATTGTCTATTTCTGCTCCAAATTTGTTTATTTAATTGATTGGCGCATAGTGAATATTGGTTTGATAGTGCTTCTTTCTAGCATGAAGCCAAAATGTCCATTTCTGACCTCTATCGTTGGTCTCAGATGAGTCAACAATTTGCTCCCACACTTCGAAAGTGTGGGCTGTCAGCAACACCCCCAATTCTGCATTTTTGATCATGGGCAGCAAACAGAAATTAAAGATCATAAATTTAAGATAATCCCAATAAATCCAAAGGGAATACAGGAGAAACATTGTTTTCTTTAAAATTCACTCATGAGATATGGGCCAGAATTTATTGCCTGTTCCCTAGTTGCTCTTCAAGAAGGTGCTGGTGAGCTGCCTTTTTGAACCACTGCAGTCCATGTGCTGTAGGTTGACCCACAGTACCATTAGGGAGGGAATTCCAGGATTTTGATTCAGCGACACAAAAGGAATATCAATATATTTCCAAGTCTGAATGGTGTGTGGCTTGAGTAACTTGCAGGCAGTGGTATTCCCATATTTCACCCTACTGCACTTGTCCTTCTAAATGGTAGTGATCAGGAGTTTGGAAGGTGCTTTTTAAGAATTGTTTTTTTTTTAAACCCAGTTGAGAATAGTGAATATGCTTAGACAGGACAGCTAGATAAATGTATAAAGGAGTAAAGGAATATAAAGTTATACATATAGTGTGAGATGATGTAGAGTGGAAACAGGATTGTGTGAAGCAGAGACTAGTTGGGCTGAATGGCCTATTTATACACCATACGTTGTACGTAATGCTTTGACCAAGGCACACTGGACAAATGAGTTCACCTTCCCATCAATTTTCCCTTCCTACGTGTTGCATCACTTCTACTAAATAGTGTTCTGGGTCAATGACAGACCATACAAGTATGTCTATTCCGTATTCTGAAGGCTAATGTTGACTGCTTATTAGTCATTTTACACAGAAACTTAGGAATAATGATAAATTTATTTTGTAGTGACAAATTCTCTCACTTTAATTACACAAATGTCAGTAATGAACTTCAAGCTTTGAGCCAAAGAAAGCCTTTAGATTGTATAAATATTCATCTGAGCAATCATTATTTGAAAATCAATGGCAGATACCCAAAGGATGATGAGCATAATCAGGCCATTGGATGTAACTTGGCACAGGTCTCATGGCGGTCTAGAGAAGAAAGAAAATGCAAAACATTGGCATATGTTCTTACAATTTCTGATTACACTTTTGGAATTTATACATCAATGAAACCTCTCTTTTCCTGTCAATGATAACAAGTCAACATTCTTGCCATGTTGCCTACTATTCAAATTTTCACTGCTTGTTCCAAATACTGGAGATATGTCTCTGTGTTAGTTGTACATTAGTTTTTAACTATGTGCAAATTGTGGGCACTAACAAGAGATTCACTTCAGTTCCTATAAATAGTCTATAATTTGTAGCTTTAGTTTGGGAGTAATTTTTAATTCTGAAATATATATATATAGAACATTGTAAAGATTAGCTCCAGCTATACACCAACTGGCTTTCTGTAGCAGAACACTTTGCGTAGTCTTTCTTCAAATAACAGAGTTACAAGGACATGAAGTATTAGAGAGAAACCTACTATATGATCGATATTTCTATATAATGACATGCACAACCAATGCGCAGCTGGGAAATAACATCTTGCCAACACCACGAGTTAGGAAGGTTCAAACTTCCAATAAACTGACTTCCACTTGCTGTGGTTACTGGATAGGTTCTTCACTGGGTTAAATCATGAGAAACTTGCATCTTCTATTTATTTATATAAACAATTAAAGGGTAATCTGATTGAAGGGTTTTTGATGATTAAAGAAGTTGATAGGATAGATGGCGAGAAACTGTTTTCTCTGGTAGGTAAGAATCCATAACCTTAAAATTAGAGCAATGACTTGGGGGCAGGAAGCACTTCTTCACACAAATACAAGTGATAATTTGGAATTTTCTACCTCAAAAGGTTGTAGAAGCTGGGGGTCAATTGAAAATTTCAAAACTATGGATTTCAAATTTTTAGAAGGCAAGAGTACGAAGATAGCCACAACACCACAAGTAGGTATATGTTTATGAGGCTGAATGGTTTATTTCTGTTCCACATTGGCAGAAATTCAGTTTTCAATCCATCATTGACGACCGATAATTAAAATCAATTTGCTTCCCTCCTCTCGATTCACTAAAGATTCAACTTTAACACAACACAAAACTGTCCCACAAGTCTCAATGCCAAAATAGACAGTGCCTCATGTTCTATCAATTACAAAGGCAAAACACCGAACAATAAATTCATGTTTTATAATAATTTATAATTGGTCTTCAACATACCAATGGATAGTGCGGCCTCAATTTGCCAGTGTATCGATAGCCAGGCCAGGGATCTGTGTTAACTTCACCTTTCTCAGTTTTGGAGGATTCTTCTTTAGATTTCTCATTTTCTGTAAAGTAAAACAATTTATAATTTTGTTCTTTGACCAAACTAATTTTCTATAATGCAGTATTACAGAATCATTTTCCATGCTAGTTTTATTTGCTTTGTAAGAGTTAATTGTAGGAGTCGTCCTAATTACAAAATCATAACTTTGAGGTAACACACGTCCCAATTGCTACACTTTGCTTGTGGTGTTTAATGAATGCCAGCTGTATCAATCCAACACTTTTCCCATTGGTCCTGCAGAGAAAGGGAAAAGGCGGATATCTTGTGGTGTCCATCTGATGACCGTCGCATGCCTGTGAGCTGCAATGAAGCACTACAAAAAGTTGAGTTTGGCTGAAACATTCAAGATCCCAAAGATGGTCACTAAGACAATCCAATGTGGGTGTCTCTGGCTAGACCAGCAATATTGCCCATGCCAAATAGCCCAGATTGTTAACTTGCTTAAAGTGAAATGGCTAAACTTTGTTGCTGAACATCAAGATTGCATTCTACAGGTTAGAAACTGAAACAGATTAGCCACTCTGTTACACGTTTCATTTCCCAGTCAGAAGTTTCAGAATTCAAGCCTGTTCCAGAGCACAAAACCTAGTTGACACAGCAGCGTAGCACTGCAGGACATGCTGCATTATTACAGGTATCATCTTTTAGGTGAGACATTAAACAGAGGTGCAGCCTGCCCCTTCAGGTGAACATGAAATCCCATAACCATTATTTCCAAGAAAAGATCGAGAGTTCTCTTTGATGTATTGGTCCAATATTTATTCTTCAACCAACATTCAAAATAAATTATCTGGATAATTGTCACATGGCAATTTTAGGAGCTTACTGTGAGGCAGTATAACACTGACACCTCAAAAAATAAATAATTTGATGCACAGCATTTTGCGATATCCCGACACTTTGATTTTTCCTTTGCATTCTTCACTGGAGGCCTATCTACCTGTTCTTTAGCTATTTGGGTGTGATTTGAAGCTGCTAAGATGTTTACCCACTGATACAAATGTGATAAACATTTATATACCTTATAGGAGTTGCAATTTTTTGACATTAAATGGATGCGCAATTTTAATTCATAAACACTCAAACCTACACAGCTTTATCCTTTACCCATATTCCAGGGCAATAAGAAAAAAGTGCATTTAAACTGATATGTCCAAAAGTGCCTTACATTAAAGTACTTCCAAAGTATAATCACAGGTGTAGTGCAAGAAACACAGCTGCCAAGTCGTGCACTGCAAACTCCCAAAAAACAATGAGATAAAGGCCAGATTATCTATTTTCTTTGTAATGTTGACAGAGGAGTAAATATTAGATCCAGAATACAAAGATTGCCTCTACCTTTCTAACCAACAGTGCTATGGGATATTCTATGCCACTGGGAATGCAGACAGGCTTCAGTTTAACATCTTTTCTGAAAGACTCTACTTCCAACAGCACAACTCTACCTCTGCAGTACACTGGAATGTCAGTTTAACTTTTGTACTCAGGTCTTTGGAGTGGGGTTTGAACCACAGTCTTCTGACTTAGGCCCTAATGCACTGAGCTGTGGCAGACACATTAATACCATGGGCACAACACCCACAAAGTACTTACTGGCTTTCTTATGGAGGAGCTTATGAGTTGACCAACTTCCTTTGAAACATTCCTGTGAAATTTAACAAAAAGTATTGTAATTTAATACAAACAGAAACAAAAAAGTTTAAAACTATACCTTTTATATGTGGGTATGTAAACAACAACTACATTTTGAAATACAAATTAACGTGAGCAACCCAATGCCACAAATGCTATCTCAGGTTATGATGCAGGTCACTAATGCCTATACTCGTTTCCCAGGCTATGCTGGAAATTAAAGCTTACAGCTAAATCCTTACAAACCTGAACTGATTTCCAAATTTGGTGTTGCAACCAGTCTGGTCAATAGTAAATCTGTTTAAGCAACTTTGATAAATCTGCCTTATTGCATGTAAAAGAATTCCAATTTGCCTTTAAAATTATGATTTTCAGAATTATTGATGTACACTGTCATCTTAAAATACAGCTCTAATGATGGTCCCCATTTGGAAACATGAGGGATCATTTAACATATGTTGGGGCTTCAGCCTAATAACTGGTCAGTATGTAACTTTCTACAGATCTGAACAAGTGCAATTTTGCACAAAATTAGATTTAATCTTACAGATTACACAGAGTAAGGTTTGAAATTGGACAACTCGAAGGACAGATCACCAAAAAGATAGTGCTATTAATTTGGGGTGGAGCAACAATGCCTATATATGGCAAGCTAAAGATACTCCAGTTGGATCACTTGAAACTACAGCACAGTTTTACTACTATGCTGTTTCAGGAAGAAAGTTCACTTCATTTGATGTCTTTACAATGTGAACAGCAAAAAAGTTAACTCATTCATTAAGAATTTTGCAGACTAAGCACCTATTCCTTCCCTTGCATTGGGGCACTTAGTTCAAATGTCACCACTGGTATTTCTAATGATGTAGCTAACAGGTGGCTCCTATAATTCACTGGGCTATCCACTGTTGAAATCATATCATGCCACAGGATTTTGCATCATCATACAGTTGATTCACTGACGTACTAATGAACCAAATGCCCCACAAGTTTTACTGCAAACTAGTCTGCCTGTGAGGTTTATGCAAGGTCCGTAGTGTCATTAATATTTGGATCATTAATATGGCACAAAGGCTCTGAAGTAATTTTAGAAATTAGCGTTAGTTTTTAAGTAGTCAACAAGTGCATCATAGCTGATCACGTTTCATACAATATTAGCACTGGCAATTGCTTGGCAGATTTCTGACAGCAGTGGCTGAGTTGTAAGTGGCATTCTCTAAAGTTAAAATGGATTTTCAACTTAGGCAAACAGCAAAAGGCTTTATTTTAAAAGACATAATCCTAAGTACAAGCATTCAAATAGATTTGAATCATGATTGGGAACAAAGCCATCAAAATATGCATTTATTTATAAATTCACATATGCAGAACAGAGAAATTTTTTTTGTTAAATGGGCACACAATACATAAATAAAGAGATAATTCAAAAAACAGCTGTCCAGGTAATAGAATACAAAAGGGTTCATATTAATTCTAGAATGCACCAAATATTGACTCAATGAGGAAACACAAGTAAATTTGCTTCTGACAAACAGACATCTTTATTCTAGGTTAAAAAATGACATGTAGAACATAGAATAGAACAGCACAGGAACAGGCTCTTTGGTTCACCATGTGTGTCAACCATAATACCATTCTAAATTCATCCCACCTGCCTGCACATGGTCCATATCCCTCATTCTCCGACTGTTCACGTTTCTGCAAAAATGCCTCTTAAACTTTGCTAATGCATCTACTTCTACCACTTCCCTGGCATTGCGTTCCAGATACAAATCACCCTTGGAAAATCTTTCCTTGCATATCTCCCTTCAACCCTTGCTCCCTAGTATTATCCAGTAATCTGAACTGAATTAACTAATGACAGTGAAATGAGAATTTAACTTTTTCTTGTACAACAGACTCTCTCAATTCAGCAAATTTGACTTCAATACGAACCATATAATTCTGCGCCACACAGGGCAATTCAAGCTGGCTAACTGACCAAACTGGAATGATTGTCAAATAAGTAGCACAAAACAGTTTTCACAAACCTAAAAAATATACTAATACTACAAGCTGTCAGCCTTGACTCAAGGAGGCACTCTCTCATTTGATTCAGAAGGTCATGGGTTGGAATCCCAGTCCTGGACTCGTGCCCATTCCAAAGGTTGACATTTCAGTGCAACAGTAAGGAAATGCCATCAGACAGGCTGTCTCTTGGATGAGCTGTTAAACTGAAGCCCAGTCTGCTCTCTCAGGGATGTAAAAATCCCATGACTCAATTTGAATAAGTGCTGGGGAATCTTCCTGTGTCCGTGGACAATAGTTATACCACAACCACATAAAGAACAGATTTACTGGTCATCACCATAGTGCTATAATTCGGGAATTTGCTAAGCACATACTGAACGCAGCTGTACATAATATAGGAAACACGCATATTTAATAGCTATGCTTCGAAAATGTTCTATTGGTTGTGAAACATCATACGGTGAGGTTGTGAAGGTTGGCGCTTCGGAAAAAAGTTCTCTCATTTCTTGGCAGATTATTATTAAGTAGCAGGCCAAAGATTTAATCCCAGCCCAGTTAAATAATGCAAACATCTTTTCAAATACTGCAATCAGACATGATGCCTCTGGACTGAGATAATATAGTAGATAAATTAGCCTCAGTCCCTGTCGCTGATCATTGAATCAAGAGTTACTCAGGGAAAAAGTCCACAACTGTGGACTTAGAGAATAAACAGAACTGAACACTGTAATGGCCTACACAGTTGAAAACTTTTCCAAGAGTCAATGCATTTATATTCACTCATGTGGGATCACAAAGAATAGCCAGTAAGTCCCAAATATTGCATATAAAACTAGAGAAATATCCCGAATCAAATCTTTGAGCCCCTCCATTATTCAGTTGGTGAATAGCTATAATCAGGAGCAAGATGTTTTAAGTAGTTTTTTTTTAAACTCCCACTCACCACTTTAATGGGGGTGACAAACAGTCCATTGGCATACTGTTCATCATAAATCTAGGATAAAACTTAGACCCATTCTGCTCTGCAGGTTTCAGAAACACACTGGGCAGTATTGTCGCTCAACATGGCAGAGTTTTACAGCACGGAAAAAGACCCTTTACCCATCATGTTCGCACTAGTCTTCAAGCACCTATCTACTCTAATCTCACCGGCACCTGGCCTGTAGCCCCTGTATGCTATGACATTTCAAGGATTTCTTAAAATACTACTTAAATGTTGTGAGGGTTTCTGACTTTACCATCCTTTCAAGCAGTGACTTCCAGATATCCGCCACCCTTTGGTTGAAAGTTATTTTCCACTAAACCTCCCGCCCCTTACTTTAAATTTATGCCCCCTAGATATTGACTCTCTCTACTAACTATCCTGTATACATCCCTTATAACTGTACACTTCAATCAGGTCCCACCTCGGTCTTCACTGCTCTAAGGAAAACAACTCCAATCTGGCTGGTCTCTTTACATAGCTGAAATACTCAAGCCCAGGCAACATCCTGGTGAATCACGAATGCGCCCTCTCTCGTGAAATCACATCCTTCCAATAGTGCAGCAGCTGGAGCCAAACACACTATTCCATCTGTGGCCCAACTAAAGCTTGATACAGCTCCATGTTAACCTCCCCTTGTTTGTATTCAATGCTTCAACTAATAAAAAAATCCCAAATGCCTTAAGTAGCCTATGTATCTGCCCTGCTTCCTTCAAGGATCTCGGGACATGCATACTATCCAAGGTCTCCCTGTACTTCCGAGGGGGCTACGATTCAATTTATATCCTTTGCTTTTGTTAGTCCTCCCAAAAAGCATCATCTCACATTTTTATATTTCATTTACCACTGCTCTGTCCATCTGACCAGCCCATCTATAATCATCCTGTAGTATAAGACTTTCATCCTCACTATTCACCACACCAATTTTAATGTCATCTGCAAACTTACTGATCATCTCTCCTATATTAGTGTCTAGAGCATTAACGTACACCGTGACAAGGGACACAGCACCAAATCCTGTGATACACCACTGGACATAGGCTTCCAAGTCACAAAACTAATTTTTGACAATCATCCTCTGCTTCCTTTGACTAAGTCAACTTTAGATCCAATCTACCAAATTGCCCTGGATCCCACAGGTTCTTAACCTCTTGACTAGTCTCCCATGTGAGACTTGTCAAAAGCCTCACTCAAATCCGAGTAGATTGTATCAACTGCACTACACCCTCATCTCCACAAAAATGCTCCCCTTAAAAAGTTAAAACAAATTTGTTAGACATGATCTTCCCCCTCAAAGCCATGCTGACTATCCTTGTCTCTCGAAGTGGAGATTAATTCTGACCTAGTGCTGAGGTTAGAATCACTGGCCTGTAGTTCCCTAGCTTACCTTGAGTAATGGTGCCATATTAACTGTCATCCAGTCCTCTGAAAACCTCGTCTGTGGCCAGATTAACATCAGGGTCCTGCAATCTCCTCCATTGCTTACCACAGCAGACTGAGATATGGCTTGAGGATTTACCCACTTTTAAACCTGCTAAAACACCAATACCTCCACGTTCTCGATGCTAATTTGTTCAAGTTTATCAACAGTCCACCACCAGATTGTTACACCTACAACAACCTTCTCTTCAGGTGCAAACTGCTCATTTTAAACCTCACCTACATCTTCCGACTCCACACAAATTTCCCCTTTGGTCCCCTTTTTCCCCCTAATATTCCAGATCATCAGATTTTCCTTTCTTTTTCCCACCAGTACTTTTTATGCCTCCTCTTCACTTTCCTAATTTTTTTTTAAGCAACCCCCTACACTTTCTATACTCCTCTCGATATTGACTGTTTTGTGTCCTTGGTTTCTGCCATAAACTTCCCTTTGTTTCCAGTCTAATCCTGCACATTCATTGACATACAGGATTCTCTGGACTTTGGCCAGATCCTGTCTCATCTTATAAAAATTAGCCTTCCCACAATGCCCTTTACTTCAGTCCATCCTTGTCCTTTTCCATGACTACCTTAAATCTTACCAAGTTATG